CTTTAAATTTAATCCTGCTCTTTTATTAGACCACACATAGTTCATTACCTCTTTTTACCAATCATTTAATACCTTGTTATCAAAATATATTGGAATCTTTTGAAAAAGAAAATTGAGCTTTTGGCATCATCTACTTTTTTTATTTTATTCAATAAACACATACACATACATACAAACATAACTTGTTTCCAAGTTCTATTACTTTTACATATAAATCTAGTTTTGGCCAAGACTATCATTTTGATCCTTGCTTTCATGGCCACCACACCTGGAGGTGGGGTGAGAATATGGTCTGGGAAGCAACTGGCCAGCTCTGTTGTTCTTTCCTGTTCCTTTACTCAAGCCTTGATCTACAGTGTGTGGTTGGTAACTACTCCCCCTTCTCCAGATATGGGCATGCACTCAGTGATGGAAGAAATTATCCTGGAGTGTACTGAAGGGGCTTTCACCATGCTTTACTGTATCGTGGGCTTCCTGGTTACCATCAGCTTCATGGTGGCCTTCCTGGAATTTGCCTGGCAGTTTCAATGAAGCCAGGTTTATCACCTTCAGAGTGTTGGTCTTCTGCAGTGTCTGGGTGTCCTTTGTTCCAATTTATTTAAGCATAAAGGGCAAATACATGGTGGCCATGGAGATCTTTTCCATCTTGACCTCCAGTGCTAGCTTATTGGTCTGCATCTTTCCCCCCAAAATGTATATTCTTGTACTGAGGCCTGAGCTGAACAGCAGGAAGCACCTAAGGAGAAAATAACATTAAAAACTATCTTAGTAAGTACTTTATCCCAATGGAGTTTACCATCCTGTTAGATGCTATCAGCAGAAGAAGTAGTGTCATGTACCAGGAGAAAGATCTTTGATGCCTTTGTGGCTTAGCATTGTGGGGGTGAGTATGGCATCCTTTTACTATAGAGGTTTTATTATTTTTGTTATGCATAGGTTATTGTAAGATTCCTTTTTAAAAAAATGTACACCAAGCAGGGTGGTGAGATGTATGAAAGTATAAATGTATATTTATAAAGTATAAATGTATGAAAGTATAAAGTATAAATGTGTGGCACCATTCACTCAATGGATTGAAGACCTGATTGCCCTTGGCACTTATGAGCAGATTGACTATAGATGGAGATTTTGTATGGAGAAGTATAATGAAATATGGGACTCATTTGTACAAATACACTGGGTTAAAAAAAAAATGACAGTTACATAAATGGAAATATATATGCATGGGAATAATATTTGCATTAGATAAATATATATAGATGTCTGTTTACTATATAATGGTATACTACAGGGTTTTTTTTGTTCTTGTATTTTTTT